GTTTTAAGTCACAGACAGTTCGGCAGCCGTCCGTATTGTCGAGATACGAGGAAACAAGCAAGACGATGTTGCATCGTCGACTGAACGCTATAACATTGTGCGCAGCTTTAGTTGCACTTCATTATTAGAGATTATAGTTGTAAAGTACTCCGATCGTCACGAGCACTTTTGAGTATATGCTGAGTTTTTCCAAGGAGCACCCAATGTTGGGACTAAATGACTGATTGACTGATAGCTGAGCTGACTCTCAACTGATTCTGACTTGATTCTAAACTGATTCTGATGGAAGCTGAGCTGATTCTCAACTACTTCTGACTCTGAACTGAACTGGTACTGATTTTACTGAACTGATTCTGAACTGATACTTATACTGACTGTCAAACTAATCCTTTTTCTGACTGTTTGAAGGGTTTTTATACTGATCCTGGGCCTACTCCCTCCCTCTCGATATACGAAGGTGGGCCTCAGGGGCGGTTTGTCTATCCCTTCCTACGCAAGACACCTACCCTGTCTCATCCCCTTCCAGTCCGCCTGTAGCGCGGGTTTCCTGGAGCGGGGGTGACGGAGTTGGTCGCTATGCTGAACGAATGTTTGGCAACGCTGGGGAAATTCCATTAGGTCAAAATCCTTGAGGACACTTTTTCTAAAATTCTAACGGACCCTCTGGAACACGACTTTGCGATACCTGGACTGAAGTGAAAAAACTAGACAATGGTTGATTTCTACGCTGAACCCTTATGTGCCGCATATTGGCTGCAGGTCGGCCTGCTAAAGCACCGGACGGAAAGCTGATGGTCACGAACGTCTCTAAGAATAATTCCCTTGTTGTCCTAACAATAGTACAGTAGTGACTTCGTCGCTACCAAGTTTCTGATAGAATAAGTACCGTTACAGGACAGTTGCATGGTAAGGGCCTGTACGAACACGTTCAGCGCACATAGCAACTGTCCGTGCAGTCCCGGGTTTCTCCAGCGTAGCCCACGCGCTAAAAAACACTTTGTCCTGCCGAATTTTCCGATTGCTTCATCCATCCGCAGTCCTCAACACCTCGCAGTAAACAAAACGACATCCGACATCCGACATTCGACTTTCAACTCTAACACCGAACAACTACACCGTACAACCGCGCTTTGTAAAATACTAATAAATACCAGTGTGTTTCATTAACTCTTCATAACCTACACTCCACCCCCACAGTGCTCTTTAGCCGACAGCGCTTATCCTCACTTACACAGTAAACGAAAGAAAAGAAATGAATCGTATGAAAGGTTCAGACCGCGGAACGATACTCCGGCAGCGCATAAGCTGGAATTCATAGGTCCAGGATTTTTATTTCACACACCCCGCCACCGCGCCTCTAATTTCCTCTATCACGGCCCTCCTTCATCGGGCTTTCATAAAAGCTTTTAAGCCTCGGCTTTGCGTTCGCTGATCCGATGAAATGTATCGGAATAGCGGCGAAGACGAGGTCAAGAGGAGTCAGGATTAAAAGGAAAAATGTAAGGCGAGTGGAAGACCGTCCGCAGCTTCTGACTGTTGCGGCGCGGCGGTTCCAGGTTGCGAAATAATGAGCGTGGGAAGCTCTTCGCGCGCTCGGCTAGGAGAGATCGAGAATCGCGGGGTGAAATAGCGGTCGGGAGAAATTAGGGACGTGCGACTGGCAGGTGTCATGCTTTTTTTACCGTGGATCGATTCACTTCCACGGTTATATTGTCTTTCGTTCCGCTGCAGAGAATTTTAATCATTTCTGCGTCCACTCTCGCGCGCCGGTTCCCTTTGAATAATCAAGGGGACGGTACGAATGGAAAGTACAAAAAGATCCTTTGGTCGAATTCGTTCAACCACGAACGATCAATATATTTATCTAATATTTCTCCTCTTTACACGCGCTCGCCGGGGCGCACAGCAAACGGAAAACGCGAGTGCAATCGTGGAAATCCTGCATAGATTTAATAACCGTCCGCCCAGCGACGAGGAAAGGAATAAAAACACGTACCACTCTAATTTACAACTTCCGCTCAGCTTTCTGTTCCCCCGTTCGCCGGGGAAAGTGGCGCGAAATTAGAAATATGAGGGTCAAATGGAAAACGTGATACCGCGTTTCCATTTCGGCCGGCAACAATTCATTCGACGCGCGAGCGGGTACGCAAATCGCGTCGCTCTCTCGAAGAATCTCGATTTAATTGATATTGGAGATCAAAGTTTGCGCATGCTTCGTCGCGCCGGTACACAGGGGAAAGGGGAACTGTTACGTTCTGGACCGCTGAACATCAAAATATTAGGTTGCCGCGTCGCAACAGAGAATTTCCCGAAACTGATTCGGTTTCTTGTCACATTGGAGAAATCAGAACTTTATGGGTTTTTTTAAAAAATGAAAATTGGAAGTTGTCTATATTATAGGAAGTTATTCATCGAGTGATTCCGACTTTTTGAGATAAGATATCCTCGGAAAATGGGGACATTAGGAACGAGAAACGTTTAAGACCTAGAGTGATTCACGTTGAAAGTGGAAAGTTGAGAGTTCAGATATTGGTCCATCAAGTGTTTTACATATAGATATTAATACAGATACTTATATTTCAACGTAGGTATAATGTTAACAAAAATGTATGTAATATTGATATTTGAATGATAATAGTAATACAAATAATAATAGTAGTAATTACGATGATAATAAGAAGAAGACGAAAATGATGGCACAAGATATTATCTGTAATAATATACAGATAGCTATTGTAGCGGAGTAGAATGTTACAGAATACACAATGACGCCGGAGGGGAACAGACTTCCCTCGTCAATGTCCGCGTAATCGTCGACTTAACCACTCGAATTACAGAGTAACGCATTTTTTACCGTCTCGTGAATTAAAAACGCGCACTGGGAGGGCCGTTAAGGCGGTTTCCGGTTATTCCACGGGGACAACGTACGCCGGTCAGTATATTCTCGAAAGCACGGTACGAAGACCGGCTAAATCCCCTTTGGCAGCCGCCCCGTCGACGGAGGACGTAGCCTCCCTTTAAGCGGGCTGCAACTTTTCTATAAGACCAGACGCACGGTCAACATCGGTCTTTGTTTCGGTAAGGGTCCGCGCTCGTGCCGCTTTCTTTATCGCGCTTTCAGCTCGACGGCGACGTCACCATTGTCGCGTGCAAGTGCTCCGGGGATCGGTGCCCCGCGATAAGAAGCAGGCGAACTACTCAAATTCAGCTCCCGAGCGCTCTCAAGTTTCTCCGTTTCGATGGAATCGATGACGAGAACCGGAAGATTGTCTACCCCGAACTCGCCGACGAAGTTTTCGTTACCCGGCTCTAATGATTCCATCGATCCGAGCGTCTATCGGTTAATTCCGATCGTGGAATACGGATTCACGGATTAAAATTTCCAGTTCTATTCATCGTTCGACGACCATCGGTTGTTGTCGCGCATTAAAGCGAACGCGTGGTTAGTCGCGGCCGTTGTAATCAAAATGTATACGTTGAGCCCGCCGAGTTTTACTACTTATTCCGATATTGCGGACGGGGAGGGGTTCGTTTCGGTGTGCGGCGCGGAAAATTGAAACGCGCGAAACGTTCGCACCAGTGGGACACGCGAGCCACGCCCAATCGCTGGCTTTTGCCCCGGCGAAGATAAAACAACTGTACTCCAATCAAAACCGTCGACGTTCCCGACGCGTCCCCTCATTATATTCCTCTGGCGGAGCAGCCGTTTCACGCGTTCTCACATGCGAATCGACACATGTCGCCGTCGCATTACCCGCCGCGCAGCCCTGTCACAGAGGAACACGCAAAAGCCACGGTAACAATAGCAGAAGAAGCATTAGCGGGCCGTCATATCCGCCGGAATATTCCGTCATGCCCACCGTTCCCGTTGCAAGGTTAATTCTCCCCGTGTTACGTTCCTCCCGCGACCGTAAATCGCTGACAGACTCCGGGGCGAACAATGGCCCCGCCCTAGCCGCCTGATACCCGACCTCCGAGCGCGTTCTTCGACGGTTTTACTCCGGTTTAACCGGAAAACGAAACGACAAGGAGAACGGAAAGGGTTCAGGCTTTGAAAGGACCACGGTTCTATGACTAGAATATACAAAGAGCTAAAGAATAATGACTATTCTGTAGAGGAGACATATGTCTACGCGCTCGCTCGAAAGTAGGATGTGACGTATACGACCGGATATAGTAGCTGGACTCCTATGTTACGCGATTGGATAGCTAATCTTCTATAAGTAGACTATACGGGATTGAAAGGAGAATTAAGTACCCTATACCTGCAAGATATAAAGCACATTTATTCGTCATATGATATCGTGTCAGACTCGTGAAAATTTTAAACTGGATTTGACAATTCTGAGTATTATTTCGTTTTTAACATGAATTGAATATTAATTTTCTATTATTAACCCATTGGCCTATGATTTCTTTCTCAACTCTGATCGATACGGCTACTTTGTCATTAATAATTTATTGGAAAGAGAGAAAAATTCTAAGCATATGTTATGCCTATATTTCTTTCAAGTATAATACTTGACTAGAGAAGAATAATATTCACTTTGAATTCGAATGAACTGAGTAATATATGTATTTGTTGAATCATATTAAAAATCTTCACGAGTCTCACTCGTTGTAGGGAAAGGGGTTAATCGTTACGTTCAGAGTGAACGTACACGTAGAATAAGTATAATTCTGTTTTTAATAGGTTATTAATAATGTAGTTTTGTCGAGCATAGTTGTGAAAGGCATGATAAAACAAGCAATTAATTAATACTCAAGTAACATAGTAGTACACAAATGAAGCACATTATACAAAGATCTAAAAAATAATATTTAAAAATTGAGAAATAGTAACAAAAACTCAAGTAGTACGAGTCACGTATGATCAGACGTTGAATTAAGAGGAACAAGATCATTGTCATTATCTTTTATCGTCGCACAAATGATTCGGAGTTAGTCGGTATAACGGACGCGACTAAAGCCATGCTGAGAAGACGCTTTTCTGTCTGCAGGGATGGCGGACAGTGGTAGGAGGCATCCGGTACTGCTGTACATTCACGGGGAGAGCTACGACTGGGGCAGCGGAAACCCTTACGACGGCAGCGTCCTGGCCAGTTACACCGACCAAGTGATCGTCACGATGAACTACCGGCTGGGCGTGCTCGGCTTCCTGAACGCCAACGTGGCGCCTCAGACCAAGGCGAGGGTCGCGAATTACGGGCTCATGGATCAGATCGCGGCGCTTCACTGGGTCAAAGAGCACATCGCCCTGTTTGGCGGCGATCCCAACAACGTGACGCTGATGGGCCATGGAACTGGTGCCGCTTGCGTTCATTTTCTCGCCATCAGCCCGACGGTCATACGCGGTGAGTAACATTCCGCTTTAAATAGGCCTCGAGATATAGTCCTCTGGCTGCGGCTGACAGATAATTCTTAATTCACTATTACGAAATATCGCAATTTCTTTTGAACACTTCTACGTTGTACGAAATCATTCTGCGATTTGTAATCCGAAGTTCGTGTCTTGAATGATAACACATAACTCTGATTTATTATAATTTTATACTAAATATTTAGTATGCAATTTGATAGGTATATATATCTTACAATGCAATCGATAAGACGTGAACAATGACATGCTGATACATTGTTAATCCAAAAGATAAGCGATAGTTTCGAAAAATTCCGGTCGATAAGCCATTGAAAATCCAATTGTTGGGATCCCCATAGGTAAGCACTGCTGTCAAAGAATCGATTATCCGATTCCTAGTGTGTAATAGTTAAGGAAATTGTATATATACACATTTTTCATAGCTGTATCCGCAGACAGCGTTTTCTTGAACAGCCGAGGACACTGATCCCGACGATCATCGCGGCACAATATTATTTTCAAGTATTCCAGGAAATTGCAATCCAAAATCTTCCCATATTCAAAAGTGGTTTAATGCTCTTGGAAAGAAACGCATGGAACTGTGAGACATCAGAGAACGGAACGAAGTTTAATTTCACGTTACACCGTGTTTCCTTCCCCCGTCCCACCGCTTGAAGTTCATCCAATTGAAAGCGACTTCCCCCCCGAGCAATCTCGACAATTCACCGGAACTTCTTAAACTTCGCGTGTAACGCTATAAAAATCCGAGCTCACGTTTGACGCGGGGCGAGCTCCTCTCGAATAAGAACGCGAAACTCGTCCCGCGTATCTGTTCCGATTGTCTCATCCAGCCGGAGCATATTCGACGATAAAATTCTCGTCGGCCGCTCGCCTCGAATGCCGGGTTACTGCACGATGGATCGCGAAAGATTGCTCAGACTGAAAAATCGTTATCCGATAAGTAACAAGACGTCGAAGACCTCTCTCCTCACAATGGAAGAATCCAATCCTCTTCCGAGATTCCTACCGATTTCCACGATTGAGAACGGGACCGCTAACGAGAGTCTCGAGCGGAATCCGAAAGGGGACGAGCTTACGTGTGTCGGTCGGAATCTGCTCGCCTTCGAACTTTCAAAGTAGATCGTGCTCTCGTATCAAGGACATATCGTTCAGACGGAGTATTTAATCTACATCTCACGATATATATAACCCCTTTCTGATCCACTTTGCTCAGTGAAAACATAAATCGCACGGTTCGGTTGACAGCACTTCGTAACGTACTATAGTCCCAGTTGAACCAATGGAGAATTCAGCCACCTGTCAGTCTTATTGCTCACTCGAACTGCTTCCATACGCTACAACTTCCACGAGAAGTTCTTATTTATCGAGTTTCAATGGTTCCGCTTGCCAACTGTTCCGTATTAAGAAGTCATTTTTCAAAGGGAACAATAAATCAACGGCGGAAGAACGCGCGAGGAATAAACAGGCTATCAGACTCTCGACAGCTGGATAAACAAGCCTTTCTATAAATTGCTTCAATTTCGAGTCCTGCCGGACGCGCCCCGGGGAAGCCTCGTTTTTCATTGAATCGAAAACCCGTATTTTAATTCATTCCCGACGAGTCCGTGACGTATCGCCGTTTCGAGGGAATTTATTGAAAAATTCCCATTGTCCGGGACGATTTGAGAAGAAACAGACGCGCGAAATGTTCCGTAATGCGGCGAACGAATCGCTGGGGACCGGATCGATCCGCACAGTCTTCCGTGAGTCACATTCATTTGAGAAAACGGGGTGAAACACGTGCGCCGACCAGTTCGGGTAACACATTGCCGGCGATATTGGCTGTCTCCTTTTATATCTTCATCCCAGTCGATTCTTCGCAGCTTTGTTCGCGGTTAACCGATCGGCTAACAGGCGTTCCCGGTCGAATTGCCGGACGGAATCGGGCACGGGCGCGGAACGAACGGACACGGATGACGAAGTAACGGCCGAACGGGCGTCGCTCACGATATTATGTGCGTGAAATATCGCCCCGCCCCCGTACGCGCCATTGGAAAATTCTTCTCGTCTTTATGAGAGCGCGATCCGAGGCGGCTTCCTCCGATCGTTCTTCGCTTCGTTTCTTGTCCTGAAACGGCTGACAGCCACGGTCCGCCATCAGCGCGGAGTTTCTCGCTTGCAAGAACACCGCGCCGTTCACACCCTTCAGAGTTTGATGAAATTCGGAGGGACGGTTCCCGGTGATGATTCAGCGTGAATTTTTCAGCGGAACATGCGCCGCCGTTCGATTAAATTTCACCGGTTGCGATGCCGATGGTTCTGAAAGGAGAAGACTCTTCCATATTAATGGTTGCGCGTCGGATTATTCTCCGCGTACTCCCAACTTAATTTACTTTATCAAGCAACGACATGTGAACATTCATAACACGAATAATCGAGGAAACGGAACGGTGGCAATCGCCTTTAAAGCAAAATTTCAAGAAAATTCCGTAGGTTCTTCCCAATAGCTACCCTTTCTCGAGTGACATAACCTCAAAGAAGCTTCCGACGAGGAAAGCACCGGTACAACTACACCCTGATAAATTACAGAGCCGAGAGGGAATCGTAAAAGGGTATCAATTGAAATTATCGCTTTGAGAGTCATCGATCCGACTGGTCGGTTCGCGGAGAGCAACCTGGAGGATCGTTTTCTTCGCTGCGACCGACCCGATTCCGTGGGACAGTACTGACCTCCCTTTGATATCCCGGGAATTATGAGATATTTCGGTGGAAAGGTAATACGCGAGCCCGTTGGTACGGACATTTATTCCGGACGACGATGCCACCGGGCGACATGAAAAATGTCCGGGTCGCGCGATCCTCTCGGCGACCGTGTATCACAAATTCCGGGGAGTCCTCGCACGAAACCGAATTGAATTATTCTACTCCCGAACATTCGCTACGGAATTAGCATAATCGTGGACCAGCGTTGGCCGCGACGCGACGCGACGTTAGAGGGAATGGCGTCGTCGCGGACCGAGAAATGTAATGATTCTTATTGTCACCGCGCGCCGATCGAGGCCGACCGTCTTGACTCGGGGCTCTCTTGTTCAAGAGTTTCTCGCGGCCCGACCGAAATAGAAGAAAATCGCCGGGCGATTATCCCCGGGTACGTGACGATCGTTGAAAAGCACATCCGCCGCGCTTGTTACCCCGGCATCGTTCCCTCGGATATAATTTCCTTCTTCTTCGCCGCGGCGCGCGCCCCGCCGCGTTTCCTGCTCGGCATCGATCTACGCTCCCGTTACGAGCTGTTTCGAAGTAACCACGCCTCGGTTTCCATTAAAAGTCCCGTCCGTTGAAGCCTCTTTCCGCGCTCCGTCGTCGAGTTAATTATGGACGACAGTAACGCGGCCCCCGCACGAAACTTCGCTTAATATCGAACGTCGCCTGATACTTCCAGGCATTGGGCTCGGCTCCCATCACGGACAGAAACGCTAAACAGAGTTTTAATCATGGACACGGTATTCAACACTTAGATCAGACGCTCGACGATTCTTCCCACGGGAGAGCTAAGTTAACCCTTTGCGCGAGAAAGTTTCTCACTGGAAACGTTCGACGTTTCCCGGTGAGGTGTGGACGACGCTCTTTGAAACGATGAAGTATACATGAATTGAGAGACAAAGCCGTTTCTTTTCAATATTTTACGTTTTGATGTATTATGCAAAGCTTGATATTGTACATAAAACTTCATAATTCTGCTATGTCGAATTAAATAGTGAGAATCACCTCTCGAGTGCAAAGAGTTAAATCCAAAGTTTCCTTGGTTCGTCGAACGTTTCGCGATGAAATGATAAGCGATGAATCTTCAGTGTTTCCGAGACTTGGTTTAATATGCGGCGGCTATCTTTTCGGTGAAACGCAAAAGAAGATTGCTATGTTCGCCGCGGATATACACGCGCGCGCACTTTCATGCGGAAACTTTCGTCGTATCCCATACAGAAACTGATTAATTAAGGAATCTACCGGAATCTTCTTTCGCGTACTTTCGACTATGTCCCCCGACAGCCGGTGCAAAAACCCGGCGAAAGTTTGCGTCGTACGTTCCAAGTTCTTGCTGAGTTTCCGCGGGCGGCGTTCGTTTCGACGGATTACAGAACGTCCCGTTATAAATCACACGTTCGATTCGTCCGCGGTACAACGGTGTACCGAATAATGAAAGATTAATAAGGTGAATCCTAGTAGACGACGTCTCGCGGTTGCTATTTCGTCGTCGTCGTCGTCGCTATCGTTCTTTCGCGATCAAGTTCGGTGAAAGATGGCGGCTGGGAAGTAAGGAAGTCCGTGTGCGAGTTGATTTTCCGGACCGATACGATTGGACCTTATTTCACGATTCTTTTTCCATGAACTCGACGACCTGCTTCTGCTTGCATGATTTATAAACCTCCTCCGGGAAGATTTTTCAAGAAACAGACGATTAGTTTGCCGGTTCCAGGCTCCGTACCAATACTACGGGATTTTATCTTCCGCTCCCTTAGAATTCGGCAGTATTTTACGAACTCTCCGAGTTCTCCGATGATTAAATTCGTGTATGGAAAATCCGGCTATCTTCGATTCATCCCGTTAAAATATTTGCTGAAGTTTAATGAGGTTCGCGTTTCATTTGAATTTTGATTTGAATACGCGTTGAAGTTTGAAAGCTTTTTCACTGGAGCGGAAGCTTCGAGCCGACACCTCAGGACATTACTTCTGTACACATTCCGCTTAAGTGGATCGACCGTAATGGTTTAACAGTTAACACGTTCCGTGTCACGTGTACCACATATGGTACACGCCGATGTTTGTAGGAAAATATTTTTAATGGATATATGGTCACGGTCGACGATATACTTTACAAAGCAGTGATAAAGAAACAATATCAAAATATGTAAAAATGACCAGAAACTTGAATATAACTTATTATTTTATTGAAAAACTCAGTACAGTTCATAAGCAAAATATGACCGAAGTTTCCGTGGCACGGAACGTGTTAACGAATAAAATGTTCCTTACATTTAAGTGAATATTAATCAATGAAATATCTTTTTCTGTCTAGGCCTGTTCAAAAGAGCGATTTTACTCTCGGGCAGCGCGCTGTCGTCCTGGGCCGTGGTCGACGATCCTGTCTCTTACGCATTGAAGCTAGCCAAGGCTGTCAACTGTTCGATTCCCGAAGATCTTCTCAAAGACAACGAACTGATCGTCGATTGTCTGCGAGGACGTAGCCTCGAGGAGCTGATGCAGATCGACATCCAACCGCCAACCTTTCTCAGTGCTTTCGGACCGAGTGTCGACGGTGTAGTCATCAAGCCCGACTACCAGAGGGACTTGTTGTCCTACATGGGCCCAGAGTTTCAAGGATTCGGGTGAGAATTTGAAGAATATTCTACAGTATATTCTTTATTTCCCCAAAGACACGCTTCTTTCCTTCTCCTGCTTCCCTTTTCCTCCGTGCTGCTTGCAACTTTCATCTACACTCATCTAATTTGTTTCACACATTTCACAAGTTCCTCTCGCAATTCATGTTTCCGTTACTAGTCGCATAAATTTCCTTGAAGAATTTTAAAAAGGTGTAGAAAGACATTAAGAGAAGTGTTAGTATTGTAGGAGAAAGAGAATTTTATTTGAAACAGAATTATTTCTTGGCAACTCGCAATAAAACAATAACAAAATCAAATAACTCGCACACTTTCTAGAACATCCTTTCATTACCATGCATTAACTTCACATATATTTGGAATATTTTAGATTCATAAAAAACAAAAATTCATAAAAATCAATATAGAGAAAATCAATATAATCTAGAACATTCCAATGCTTTGAACATTCATTAAAAACAGGAACTATACACACACTCAAATACATCCATTCCCACAGTATCACTCGTAACACTTTCCTAAAAGACTATAGCCGTCATCCGAAACCTCCAAGACTCGTCGCGCACATATTTACTTATTATCCGAAGCGGCAAAATGAGTGATTATTCAAACTACAATACCAAAGTATCGATAACGTCCTCATCTCCGGCAACCTCCCATAATATCTTCGTTTCCCGTCCGAAGACTTTATCGGAGCCCCTCATTAAATGGAAAGTAGATGCAGGATTAGCTCGATCCGCCACAGACATTAGTGCGGTTCATTAGCGGGATTGTAAATGACCCAGCCTTGTCTCACCAATTCATTAGCATACTCGGATCGAGCCGACGACATCGGTGCGGCCAGACGAGACAACCTCGTGTAATCATTTTTCCCCTTGGAGGCGTTAAACATTCATCCCCGTGCAACGATAATGTTCAAAGGCTATATTAATTTCGTTCATTTATCCATCCAGTCGTGCTCAGAGCAGTTAGCAACATCGCCGATGCATAAGATTCGTATTTTATGCATGCTTAAAGGGAGACATTTAAAACCGCTTGACGTTGAAATCTTGCTGGTTCGCAGACCGCTCCCGAAGAAAGCGGAGCACGGTGCACCTATCACGAGCAACAACAAGTACGATTTGTTGTTCGGCGTGACGACAAGCGAGGCTCTATGGAAATTCGCGGAGAAAGATGTCCAGCTGGGATTCGAGGGCGAGAGACGAGACAGAATTATCAGGACGTACGTGAGGAACGCTTACGTGTATCATCTCACGGAAATATTTTATACGGTGAGTAATGTCCTTGGGACTCTAATTAATTTTCTTCTACCGATTCCTCAACCCTTTGCACTCGAAAGTTTTTGCACAGAAAATATTCAACATTTTCCGACGAGATACAGCCGACATGGTTAGAAACTAATAATAATTCACAGATAAATTAAGCAACAAAGCTATTTTATTCGAGTATTTCATAGCAATACAAAGTCTAATTTAAAATACTAAACATTCAACTGTATAGTTTTGCTGTGTCAAATAAAGTGGTGACTGAGAGACCTCTCGAGTAAAGGGTTAATATTATTTTCTTGTCAACTGTGTACTGCTCGCAAAATTACAATCATCCCAGTCCCGAGTGCAAACAGGAATAAACAGATAAAAGAATAGATAAATGATATTTTCTTCAAGATTATCCTTTCGTCTCTTGCACAAACACTCGCCACTTAACGCGAACTATACGAAACCACCGTATCGCTCCAAGCGAAAGATAAATTACGCATACATCGTTGTTCCCCGGCCCGAGGCAAATAACCCTAAATTAAGAAGGAAGCAGGAAAACGGCAAAAGCAACGGAACACGGTGCTACATCGCGTCGGCTCCCCCCGGTGACTTCCGCGTTATGTTCAATTTATCCCCATTATCCAGCCGTTTGCGTCCCATCCGGCGATTTAATTACACCGCGTATTCCATTAACGCCGATAAGACTGTTAATAAACATATCTCGATGCGAGTCTCGTATCTGATCAGATTCGAAAAATAATGAGGGAGGCGGCCGGAAGCCGTGAATATTTCGTGCGTATCGGGAGCGCAGTGCCGTTCATCCTCGGGAAATTCCGATAAGCCAACGATTCCGAAGATTATGTCCATTCCGCGTTCGTTTTCATAATGCTCTTAGGGAATAATTCGGTGAACGTTCGCCGGATCATCGGTTTCCCCGCCGGCCGCTTCCTCCCCGCCGCGCCATCCGGCCGCGCGCCGCTATAAAAACATATCGTCCCCGGCTTCCTGCCTAATTATCCATAATCGTAAAACGTTATTCAACCGCAAATCGCGGTTTAATTGTCCTCGGCGCGATCGCGCAGAAATACCGTGAAAACTCGTATCTCCTGCCGTATTCAAATGAAAATCCCGCGTTCCGATCGCCGACCAATGTCGATATGCCACCCCCGATACTTTACGATCTCGCGCAACGAAACGAACGAATCTTTCTGAACGTTCGATTTCACTTCATTCGCTGGCGAGCATAAATTTTGTCGTTAAGGAATTTATTGACTCTCCTATAGATAAACCGCCAATAAACTAGCCAAGTCGATTAAGTCCATTAACAATTCGTTAAGATTTCAGTACGAGAAACACTTGATGTATACGTGTCTGCGTTTGAATCAAATTTCTGTAAAAATCGTTTGAACATGACAAAATGACGAACTTCTTTGAAAATCGTACCTTCATTTCGGAAGCCGCATGCCGAGATTGAATAAACAGTGGTTTGTTGCGTTTATCAATTCAGTCTTATTACGGTATAACTCGTTCAATTCGAGTCGGGAGCTGTAACAAAGGCGCGCGATTCCCATCGCCGATTTCCCTACTCTCCGTTCCGCGGACTTAATCGATTTAGCAAATGAACGACTCATTCCGCTCCTTTTTGTCCGCTTTTTCCCCCCGCTCGTAACTATTTGTAACTCGGATTACAAGTCGGAGGAAGCCCCGCGTGTGCTCAGCATCCGTGTCTCGTATAAAATCACGCGTCGGCCGGGTTGGAAATGTAATACGGCCGACGCGGCCGCGGGGGAAACGAATTCCCCGTCGCGCGGCAGAGAATAGAATTCCGTTTGACGATTTTATCATCGTCATTGTCGTTCGTGAAGGCGCTTTGAGCGCGCGCCGCGCCGCGCCGCGCCCGACGAAACTCGCAATTTTCGTACGGCCGTTCCCTCAAAGCGCGAGCCACGGAGCGGTCGCGTTCTACGGGCGTCGCTTCGGGAAAAACCGTCCCGAATAATAAAAGCAGGACATGCCCGGTCGAATTTTCTCCCCGGGCGCGGTAGACTTGCCTCGTTTGCGTGTGTACCGTTAATAAAAAAAACAACGCCGAGCGAAAAAAAAGGAAACGCGAGGGAAAAAGGAACGAAAATGCAGGATTCTGCTTGCAGTTGTTTGAAGTTCGTCCCGTGTCCTCGACACGCTCGGATCTCGACGAATCGCGGCGTAACGACGACGCGATTCTCGTTTAATTATCGTCCGATGACGCGACAGTGTATTTTCCGGATCCCCTGCGCGCAGATCGGCCGGCCCCGATTGTTCGAAATATACCGGCACCAGACGCTTCTATTTCACGCGTCTATTATAATGCAACACGATACGCACGTTGCCGCTAATTACGCCCCGTGTTCCAATAAACATTTGAAAATTGAAATAAAATTGTGGCGGATAATGATCGCGATCAAATGTCTGTAACGTTATAGAACATTAACGGGGCGTTATTATGTGGAATATCATTATAATGTTATTATAGATTATGTATCTATAGACGCGAGTGGATTATATCAATGAAACGAATTACCGGCGACGACATGAAGTTTGTATTATTGCGAACCGTATAATTTACTATTCGCGAGCTACTGTTTCTAATGGAACCACGATCGGTGGAACAATATTTTGCGGAATTTAATATAACGGCAGATACGCAACGTGTAATTATGATAGAATTTTTCTTGCGAATGGGGAAATGGTAATTTAAATTTTCATGCGTGTTCGCTTCACGTTGTATCGTGTTATTATTGTTGCGTCGTGATAATTGATTTACAGGTGGTGAACGAGTACACGGACTGGGAACGAACGGTTCAGCACCCGATAAACACGAAGGACGCTTGTGTCCAGGCGCTCAGCGACGCTCAGTTCGTCGCGCCATTGGTGCAAACTGGAGACCTCTTCACTCTGAGACACACCAAGAAACCGAATAATCCTCACATTCCTCCGATAATCGAGACGGACAAAGAACCGATGCCCAAAACCTACTTCTACGTCTTCGACTATCAGATGAAAGACGGCGATTACCCTCAGGTAAGTGGTTGTTTCGATCTCTGATATTAACACTAGAACTACCGAGCATTTAATATGATTAATATGCAATTCCTATAAAAACTGTTCTTCAAACATTCATTATAGTACTCAAATGAAACTATTTATTTTCAATATCATTTCGAATATTCAATGCTTCGAAGATATCAATATGTGATAAATAAAAAATCGGAACCAGTCATTTTGACTGGTACGGTAGTTCTAATATTAAAAGTCTTCGTTCCCGATAGAAAAATTATTCGAATCATAAACAACTATCCTTGAACAATTTTGGATACTTCAATTTATAAATCACGAAAATAAAACTTCGAGAAGCTATAAGACTAAATATTATCTCGTAAGTAATATCGTTTGTTCATGCTAACTTTCAACGTAAAGAATACTTACGTGTTTGATCATCGACGTATTGATTCCAATTTCTTGATGAATACTTTAATGTCATTTTCGAAATGAAATTATTCCTACGATGACTAAATTCCAGTTCAAAATCGAAAGATTACAGTACAACGGTTACACGCGCACGTTAAAGCAATCTCGACAGTTTAGCTTTAAAATATTATTAGAGTTACAAATTGGCGTCACTAAATTTGCGAACGTATATGAAAAAGGATTACCGATAACCAGGATTGTCGGACACCGACAAGATTCACTGCGCACATTTTCCGAGCCCGGGAACCCGGAGTACCTTATCGACGTGCCGCGACAGCCGAATAAATCACCGATATCTATGCATTCGATTACGGAACTGTTTAAAGATGTATTATAAAGCGAACGATTTCACCGGAGTAATTAGATCCGCGGCGCAAGCGCGCGAGCGCTCACACACACGCGCCAAGGTAAATTAACTACTACGCGAAACATCATTAATAATCCAGCTGCGTCGGCAGAACTGTGTGCTGTACGCTCGACTTCTAGTCCTATGCAGGCTATACGATTAACTAGCGACCGATAGGTGGCGTGACTCGACACACTGCTCGTTACACGTTGCGCTCAATTTTCCCGGCTATGAAATTTAAAATTTAATATAACACGCGGAAACTCGTAGCTCCCCGCCGAAAAGAGTGCTCGAAATTGTGCGCGCGGCGTTCGCTGCAGGAATACGAAATAATTCATGGTTAACTGAGTCTCGAGTGGTGTGATCGCACTTTTCTGTTACTCCGTCGAAGTGCCATCATTCGATTCGTAGAATCATAGAGAGTCTATTTATTTGTTCTCTTATTAATCAGATACTATCATATTGAGTCTATTTGTTCTCTTATTAATCAGTTACTATCATATTGAGTCTATTTATGTGTTCTCTTAATAATCAGTTACTATCATATTGAGTCTATTTATTTTCTCTCTTATTAATCAGTTACTATCATATTGAGTCTATTTTCTCTCTTACTAATCAGTTACTACCATATTGAGTCTATTTATTTGTACTCTTATTAATCAGTTACTATCATATTGAGTCTACTTATTTGTTCTCTAATTAATCAGATACTATCATATTGAGTCTATTTATGTGTTCTCTTATTAATCAGTCACTATCATATTGAGTCTATTTATTCGTTCTCTTATTAATCAATTACTATCATATTGAGTCTATTTGTTCTCTTATTAATCAATTACTATCATATTGAGTATATTTATTTGTTCTCTAATTAATCAGATACTATCATATTGAGTCTGTTTATTCGTTCTCTAATTAATCAGTTACTATCATACTGAGTCTATTTATTTGTTCTCTTATTAACACGTCGAATGCCGTGAGGGTCACCGGTGTCCCCCAAGCAAATTGGGTTACTATAATTCACTCAATTAAGCGATGCTCATCGACAAACATTTATATACTATAAATAACACTACCCATTGCGGTGACATTCAGTTTGATGAACGTGCAACGATAATAATCCGATTCAGTCGAACGATTTAATACATTTTTTCCATTCTGTGTATTTTGCTCTATAAAATCGTGCGTTCAACGTGTCAATCAGTTACTTTCAGTTCCATTATCCACTTAGAAATCGATAAATGAAGCGATCGCATCGGTGAAATTTTTTTGTAGAAACAGAAAACAGAAATCATAGTTCGTGAGAAAGAAAAGAAGCCGGGTTGCACTTTCCAACCGGATTTTTGTGAAGACCCGTGGCACTCGAACGGTTCAAGTGGAATGCGCGTTCGTTTGCGAGCCGTTTGTTTTTCCTTCTTCCAGAGGGGAAGCGGATGTGGTGAACAAACTATCGAAGCACGTAGAAGTTACGAAAGCACGGTAAATTCGGCGGCGAGGGCGATTTATCGGGCGCGTTACGCTAAACCGACGCGCCTCGGTTAGCTTTTACAGTTCAGCAATTATAATCTTATAGGAACGATAATGTATCGGGCTCCCCGCGATTCCCGTGCTTCTCCAGATTATGCAGGTCAAATATCATTGCGCCGCG